CAATACCCCACCAATACAATACAATACAATAGACAAGTGATCGTGTGTACTTTGAAATTTTTAAATAGAAACTGTAGGACCAGAGCTAGTGAAGACTTTACTAGAAAAACACCCATGTTGGTTTATGTTTTGTAAGTGAGACCACTAAATAGAAATAATTTCAAGTAATTTAAAATATTCTCACTTTAATCTATATAAATACACCAACAAAACAACCTGAGTAAAAAAACGACTCTTACAATGGTGTATTGTTCTACACTTACAATGAAGCTAACTAAAAGTAAGGGAACGTAACATAATCTTATAGTACTCGTAAACAACAGATGCCTAACACAACACGAAAACTTGAGACGCTCTGCTGAAGTCAATGAGATATAAACATGTACAAATAAACAGTTCTAATGACAGAACCTAAATAGTTCCTGCTGTGTTAAACAAAAAAATATATATATATATAAAGAAAAACCACTACGCCTTCTCAGCAACCAGTAGTTTTCAAGATGACGACCTCTTATTAATCCCGAGGTGACTAATCTAACCATCCTTTCATATAATTGGTTGAGTTCAATGACGTTTTTAACACTACGAAATGACGTATAGCAGCCTTCAATGGACGTGCAACTAAAGCGAGTTTATTTAAATTTCAGTAAAACAGGGCTACGAATTCCCCAAATTTCTTCTATTTCAGAGCATTAAATTACTATTAGCTTGTATAACTTCTTCACAGACTATTTCTCATAAGCCCAAGATGTCTTCTATTTTAGAGTGTTGGATTTCTCTTAATGTGAGAAATGTATCTAGAGACTTATTCAGGTTTGATTACGACCGATTTAATGGGTTTATTACAAATGTACAAACTTGTCGAAACGTTGCTCTTTTATAATAAGGTTTCTTTCACTACACATTCAGACTTTATTAGTCTATACAGACTATTTCTTACAACACGCAAATTGTTTTCTATTTCACAGTATTTGGTTTCTCTTATTGTGTAAAAGGTCCCTACTAAGCGGTCTGAACAAGTGATGATCAGTAGAGGGGACGTATCCGTTGCACGTGCAATCTGCTGTTATATTTTATTAGTTAGATAGGCACTTCCCGAGAGTAAGTTGTCAAACATCTTACACTGGAGCACGTAGCTGAATTAAGGACATGGTTCTCATGACTGAAAGAAAACTTGTTGGTTGATTTCTGTTTTATCTTAAATCATAAATGATTCTTTAGAACAGTCGTTGAAACATTATCTTACTGTAAAATTTAATCTGTTCATTCTGTAAAACAAAGCAAACTTAGGAGCTATGTCAAAAGTGGAGGTAAAATTCTCCGGTGCGTCCTCTGGTGATAAACGGTTGTCGTTAAGCCCAGAAGATTTTTCTGTTACAGACGTAGACGAGACTTTGTGCGGCCTCGGAACCTGTAAACCCCATTGGCTTCAGCGTTTCGCTAGCCCCAAGGCCTATCTACTTATTTTTAGTTTCGTCAGTCTAACTCAAGGGGCTTACATTACTTACTTCGCGGGCATTCTGTCAACAATCGAAAAACGTTTCACTTTTAAAAGTAAGATCACCGGAATTCTCCTGATCGCCGATAACATCAGTCCAATCATCACAGGTGCACTAGTTGGATTTTATGGTGGTTCTGGACATAGACCAAGATGGTTAGCTGCCGGTATGCTGCTATCGTCTCTCAGCTGCTTTATTTGCGCCTTGCCTTATATGTTGTTTGGCCCTGGAACTCATCTTCAATCAAGGACTTCTGATTTTCTTGCCGAACCTCCAACACAGTTTTGTACAGTAAAGGGATCCCAAGAAGTATGCACCATGTCACTAGTGTCCTCCACTATTCCTGCTATTGTTCTCTTATTTGTAGGTAATTTTCTGCAAGGTTTCGGAGCTATTGCTTTTTACTCCGTGGGAACACCTTATTTGGACGACAACGTCAAAAAGCAGGACTCACCTCTATATTTTGGTAAGATCCTTTATTCAAAAGATAGGGAATAACAGGGGGTGTTTTTATAACCCTGGGATACTTGTTCAATATTTTGGTAGGGTTCTTTATTCAAAAGAAAGGGAAGAACATGGATGTTTTAGTAACCATGGGCTACTTGTTGAATATTTTAGTAGGATTCATTATTCAAAAGAAAGGGAAGAACAAGGGGTGTTTTAGTAACCCTGGGCTACTTGTTGAATATTTTGGTAGGATCCTTTATTGAAAGAGTTGGGAAGAACAGGGGGTGTTTTAGTAACCCTGATCTACTTGTTAACTATTTTGGTAGGGTCCTTTATTCAAAAACTAGGAAAGAAATGGGGGTGATTTTCTAACCCTGTTATACTTCTTGAATAGTTTGGTGTGATAATTTATTCAACAGGTAGGGAAGAAATGGGGGGTGTTTTAGTAACCGTGGGCTACTTGTTGAATAATTTAGTAGGATTCTTTATTCAAAAGGTAGGGAAGAACAGGGGTGTTTTTGTATCCCTAAGCTACTTGTTCAATATTTTAATAGGATTCTTAATTCAATAGGTAGGGAAGAAATGGGGTGATTTTGTAACTCGGGACAACTTGTTCAATGTTTTGGTCGGATCCTTTATTCAGAAGATAGGGAAGAACTGGGGAAGTTTTAGTAACCCTGGACTACTTGATGAATATTTTAGTAGGATTCTTAATTCAAAAGGTAGGGAAGAACAGGGGGTGTTTTAGTAACCCTGGGCTACGTGTTGAATATTTTAGTAAGATTCTTTATTCAAAAGGTAGGGAAGAACTGGGGAAGGTTTAGCAACCCTGGGCTACTTGATGAATATTTTAGTAGGATCCTTTATTCAAAACCAAGGGAAGAATAGGGGTATTTTAGTAACCCTGAGCTACTTGTTGAATATTTTGGTAGGATCCTTTATTCAAATGAAACGGAAGAACAGGGGTGTTTTAGTAACCTTGGGCTACTTGTTGAAAATTTTATAGGATTTTTTATTCAAAATGTAGGGAAGAACAGGCGGTGCTTTAGTAACCCTGGGCTACGTGTTGAATATTTTAGTAGGATTCTTTATTCAAAAGGTAGGGAAGAACTGGGGAAGGTTTAGCAACCTTGGGCTACTTGATGAATATTTTAGTAGGATCCTTTATTCAAAACCAAGGGAAGAATAGGGGTATTTTAGTAACCCTGAGCTACTTGTTGAATATTTTAATAGGATTATTTATTCAAAGGGTTGGGAAGAACAAGGAGTGTTTTAGTAACCCTGGGCTACTTGTTGAATATTTTGGTAGGATCCTTTATTCAAAAAAAAGGAAAGAACAGGGGGAGTTTTAGTACTTCTGAGCTATTTATTGAATATTTTAGTAGGATCCTTTATTCAAAAGGTAGAGAAAAAATGGAATGATTTTGTAACCCGGGGCTACTTGTTGAATATTATGGTAGGATCCTTTATTCATAAGGTAGGAAAGAACAGGGGGTGTTTTAGGGACCCTGGTCTACTTTTTGAATATTTTGGTAGAATCCTTTATTAACAAGGTAGGGAAGAAATGGGGGTGATTTTGGAACCCGGGGCTACTTGTTCAATGTTTTAGAAGGATTCTTTATTCAGAAGGTAAATAAGAACAAGGGTGATTTAGTAACCCTGGGCTATTTGTTCAATATATTAGTAGGATTCTTTATTCAAAAGGTAGGGAAGAACAGGGGGTGTTTTAGTAACCGTGGGCTACTTGTTGAATAAATTAGTAGGGTTCTTTATTCAAAAGTTAAAGTAGAACAAGGGTGTTTAGGTAACTGTGGGCTACTTGTTGAATATTTTACTAGGATTCTTTATTCAAAAAGTAGGGAAGAACAGGGAGTGGTTTAGTAACCCTGGGCTCCTTTTTGAATATTTTAGTAAAATCCTTTATCCAAAAGAAAGGGAAGAACAAGAGGTGTTTTAGTAACCTGGGGCTACTTGTTCAATGTTTTGGTAGGATCTTTTATTCAAAAGAAAAGGAAGAACAGGAGATGTTTTAGTAACCCTGGGCTACTTATTAAATATTTTGGTAGGATCCTTTATTCCAAAGAAATGGAAGAACAGGGAGTGTTTTAGTAACCCTGAGCTACTTGTTGAATATTTTGGTAGGATCCTTTATTCAAAATGTAGGGAAGAACAGGAGTGTTATAGTAACCCTGGGCTACGTGTTGAGTATTTTAGTAGGATTCTTTATTCAAAAGGTAGAGAAGAACTGGGGAAATTTTAGCAACTCTGGGCTACTTGATGAATATTTTAGTAGGATCCTTTATTCAAAACTAAGGGAAGAATAGGGGTGTTTTAGTAACCCTGAGCTACTTGTTGAATATTTTAATAGGATTATTTATTCAAAGGGTAGGGAAGAACAAGGAGTGTTTTAGTAACCCTGGGCTACTTGTTGAATACTTTGGTAAGATCCTTTATTCAAAAGAAAGGGAAGAACAGGGGGTGTTTTAGTACCTCTGGGCTACTTTTTGAATATTTTAGGAGGATTCTTTATTCAAAAGTTATGGAATAACTGAGGTGCTTTAGTAACAGTGGGCTACTTCTTGAATATTTTGGTGGGATCCTTTATTCAAAAGAAAGTAAAGAACAGGGCTGTTTGAGTAACCCTGGTCTATTTGTTGATTATTTTAATAGGATTATTTATTCAAAAGGTAGGGAAGAACAGGCGGTGCTTTAATAACAGTGGGCTACTTCTTGAATATTTTGGTAGGATCCTTTATTCAAAAGAAAGGGAAGAAAAGGGTGTGTTTTAGTAACTCTGAGCTACTTGTTGAATATTTTAATAGGATTATTTATATAAAGAGTAATGAAGAACAGGGAGTGTTTTAGTACCTCTGGGCTACTTTTTGAATATTTTAGTAGGATTCTTTATTCAAAAGTTAGGTAATAAGTGAGGTGTTTTAATAACCTTGGGCTACTTGTTGAATATTTTGGTATGATTCTTTATTCAAAAGAAAGGGAAGAACAGGGGTGTTTAGTTTGTTTGTTTGTTATGAATTTCGTGCAAAGCTAAACGATAGCTATCTGCGCTAGCCGTCCCTAATTTAGCAGTGTAAAACTAGAGGAAAGGCAGCTAGTCATCAACACCCACCCCCAACTCTTGGGCTACTCTTTTACCAACGAATAGCGGGATTGACCGTCACTTTATAACGCCCCCACGGCTGAAAGAGCGAGCATTTTGGTGTGACGGGGATTCGAACCCAGTGGGTGTGTAGTAACCGTGGGCTACTTGTTAAATATTTTGGTATGATCCTTTATT